TGTAAACTTGTAAATGTTTGTTGAAGTGAATAGCAGGCGGTCGAAACCGGAAACGTGGTAGAACTTGGAGAATGGAGGGATAGGGAGCCTAAAATGTCCAGAGCAGATGGTAAAACTTTGGGTACAGCTTTATATAGACATGAGGACAGACCATGTGCATTGCATTCAAATACATGCCAATAGCAAAAGCTGGATCTCATTAGGGGTGCTACCACCAAATGTCTTATTATCTTATTACACAGACTAAGTGCTATTAATGATGCGCAGCATTTTGCATTTTGAGTTGCTTTTATTTGTTGCCAAATGTGGTGGTGATGTTTGGGTCCACAGGGTTAAGGTTTCTCATGATCCTGTTAAACCATCTGGCTCAAAAAGCATCTTTCTTCATTGATGCCTGGCCATTTAAAAGCAGAGCAACTATGATCAAAATGAATGGGAATGCTAACAGATATTCTCCAGACTTCTCTTTTTGAGTGTACCTTTTAGCTTTAGGCTGGGACTCGAATCTTTCCTATTCACCGTTTCAGTGGGATTTTTGAGCAAAGTTTCCTCATAAATGTTAATCTCCAGCGGAAATCTAGCTGAACTGCTTGCCAGATCAACAAGAGGTCAGAGAAATTCCTCCAAAGCTTGTCGGAGCACGCATGGTTTGGAATTAATGTTTAGAAATTTTATATGGCGGATCAGTTTGACGGGTTCTAGGTTGTGTGCTTTGTCATCAGTGTGTGACGTTCACACTTTGCTCAGTAGTTATCTGAAACTGTTGCTGGTCTTATTTTCCTAGACGGCATCAGACACAGGTTGACCTAAGCCTTGGAGTTTCACATTTTGGTTGTGCTATTCCAGTGGTGAACAATATACACTTAAATCTGGGACATATGTTCTTCTTTAGCACGTCAGTGATATTCACATGGACGTGACTCATATGTTTCTAGACATGGCAGAACATCATTTCCCCATTCAAATTGTACACACAGAGTCAGACAGCAGTAGAACATTTTGAATGTTCATTTTCATGTAACACCGGCATTTGTATATTTCCCTACATTCTATTCACTTTCCCTTTTGGGCGACGCCTCTGGACTTTTTCTGAGTGATTTATCTGCTGTAGCTCGCTTTATTGCCAAGATGGCCTTATCTGAAAGCACTGCACAGTGAGACTGTAAAAGTCAATGCTGTGTTAAAGTGCTGGATTATTTTAGACTGGCTTTTGTGTGGATTTATCATCTGGATTTATCCAATAGTAACCGACTGCAGAACCGCAGAACCATACGTCATAGCAGTGTGAGGATGACAGCGCCAGCCTAACCGTCTGATGCCGGAAGTGGGCGTGGCCAGGCATTGCGCTACTTCTGTGTTTTAGAACGTTTCAAAGTTTAAAACAATGCTATTATGAATATATTTTTTAACGATTTCATTAAATATGTATATTTAAGAGATAGGCCTATATATATATATATATATATATATATATATATATATATCAAATATTATAAAATATAATATTTATAAAATTATAAAGTATAATAACTATGTTTTGTCCTATTAACAAAAGACAGGCAATGTAGCCTATTAACAAATGTTAATAGTGTTTTTTAAGTTAAAATGATACTTTATGCATCTGTTTTGTGTCAAATGATTAACAATATAAATTGAACAAAGCTTAAAACAAACAAAATAATAAAACGAAAACAAAGCTTGAGCATTTGAACATTTGATTTAATTGAAAAGCATTTTTTAAATAAAATATGTTTTTCCCCCCTCTGAAATAGCAAAAGCATCACACACTAGCTGTACCTGCTCCAAATAAATAATAGTAATTAAATCAAAATATAAAATCAAAATAAATAAAATAAATAAATTATATAAAACAAAATCAAACCAAAGAAAATAAATCTTATTAAAGTTATGCAGGCACACATTTAACAATACTTCTCAAGTGACAAATAAACTAAATAGATCAAAACTCCATACACATGGAGTTAATCCTGATGATTCCTGAGGCGCCTTTCGTCATGACACTCGCTTTTATTTTCTTTGGTTTGATTTTGTTTTTTATAATTTATTTTATTTAGTTCGATTTTTTTATTTAATTTAATTACTATTATTTATTTAGAGCAGGTACATCTGTGTGTGATGCTTTTGCCATTTCAGAGGAAAAAAATAATTGTATTTAATTAATAATTTTTGTTTCAATCCACCATAGAATTATGTTGTTTGGTCTATGAAAAAAAATTGTTAGTTGTGAAATGGTTGAGTATTAACAAAATAGTTTTTTAAAAGTTAAAATTATACTTTATCCATTTGTTGTGTCAAATGAACAATATAAATTGAATAAAGCTTTAAACAAAATTAATAATAAAATTAAAACAAAGCTTGAACATTTGATTGAATTGAAAAGCATTTTTAATAGTAGTATATTGTCTTTTGTTAATAGGACAAATAATTATTATATTTTATAATATTTGATATATATATATATATATACATACAGGTGAAACTCGAAAAATTCGAATATCGTGCAAAAGTTATCATTTTGATGATTATGGCTTACAGATTATGAAAACCCCAAATTTAAAATCTCAGAAAATTAGAATATTACATGAAATCAATACAAAAAAGGATTTTAAATACAGAAATGTCGGCCCTCTGAAAAGTATAATCATGCATATGTATGTAGTTATATATAGGCGACTAAATATATTAGTTTCACCTTTTAATTTGAATTACTGAATTACATGAACTTTTGCACAATATTCTGATTTTTCGAGTTTCACCTGTATATATACACACAACTATATATATATATATATATATATATATATACACACATCTTAAACATATCTTTAATTAAATCGTTTAAACAAATATTTATAATAGCATTGTTTTAAACTTTAAAACGTTCTAAATCACAGAAGTAGCGCAATGCCTGGCCACGCCCACTTCCGCCCACGCCCACTTCACGCCCACACTGCTATGACGTATGGTTCTGCGGTTCTGCAGTCGGACCTATCTCGATTTATCAACAGTATTACATTGTGAGTTCTGTTTGTCTGTAGACTTCACTTCCTCTCAGGTGTGTTTGTTCTTGTGTGGTAGGGTTTGATTGATTGGTAGTTAGGTGTGCTGCTTCTTTCACTGCTGTGGTTTTAGAGTTGACGTGGTTTTGAATAGTTCAGCATGAGGTGTGTGGTTGGCTAATATCCATTTATTTTTCAAATAAACAGGTCAGGTTTGCAGGTTCAGAGAAATGTTCTCATTTTAATCTTCTCAACTGAGAAGAGCCCTGAATTTAGGCATTTTCAGAATCTGGGTCAAAATATATTACATTCATCAGCTTTTACATATTAAATAAATGAGTTTATTCCTTTGGAGATTCATAGTAGTGGTGTTAAGGTGGGCATTAATATTGCTATGGTTCATGCTAGGGGTTAGGAACTTCAATAAGCTAACCTTAAGTATTAAACTTTAACCGAAAGCTTGTCCTGCATCATGCTAGTTTTATATTTTCAGGTTTCATTTTAATACAATTTTAGTCATTTTGTTATGTCTTTTCTCATTTTATTAGTTTTTTGTTTAAAAACATTTTGAATAGAATTTAATTATTTAAAATGATTTATTTAGTATTATCAGTTTGAGTTTTAATTCAGTCATTTTAGTACTTGAACTTGACAGATGGAAATTTTCTGTCAAGAAAACAAGCTAAAACTCCTATAAATGTACATACTGTAGAAGGTGTGAGAATAGCCATATGTTTAGACCAGAAAAGTCATAGAGACTTGGGGGTGAGCACTTATGGCTTTGGTTATTAATCAACTGCCTAGTAATTACCCAGAATACCCTAGCAACCACATACAAATGTGCTTTAGAAACCTGGCACCCTGGCAACCACTTACAACCATACCTGTCAAGTTTTGGATTTGAAAATAAGGGAAATTTTCCGGCGCCCACCTCGATCAGTCCCACCACCCCAACCAAGCTCCAGTATCCCTTACATTTTAAGACAGGTGTTAATTAAAACACACACACACACATATATATATGGTATATATATATTAAGAGCATTATTTAAAGGCTTATTTGCATATTTTCTGTTCATTTAACATTGCTTGTCTTTACATTTACATTTTATTTTCATTCCACACATTATTTTCATTTCACATTGCTTTTCATTTGCAGTTTTTCTTTTCATTTCACATAACTTTTCTTTACTCTTTTAGTGAGTTATTGAACAAATTTGTTGCAGACTTTGTATTAACTGTTTTGGAAGGAGTGTATTTGTGGGCTGGGCCAGAGTGGTTAATTTTACATGAGAGTAGCAAACAGTTCTGTTGTCTAACGTCATCCTATTCTCTGTAACAATCTTTCGTACCATGCTCCTTCCCCGTGTGAGATGCTAACCGTGACCGTGACTGTCCCCCACCCTGCTCCTCTTCAGAAAAGTAAATTCGCTATCCCATTGATCGCGGTATTTAGTACATGAGGGTTTTGTTTTTTTGGCAGGAGTGCCTTGCTCTGTCATATCATAGCGTAGATCATCCGACTCTGTTTTTTTTTTTGTTTTTTTTGTTTTTTTCCGCGTTGTCACTCATCATCTGAGCACTAACCTCGCGACACTGCCACCTACAGTACCTGTAGTTATCGCGAGGCTAGTGACAGAGCTCCGAGTGGGAATGTTTTTTTTTTTTTTTTACTCCGCCCGGGGTATTATTATTTTTCAATAACGCAGGTTAAAATACGGGAGATTTACGGGAAAACACTAATACGGGAGGACGGCGGGAAAGAAGGGTAAAATACGGGACTTTCCCGGCCAAAACGGGATACTTGACAGGTATGCTTACAACACCCCTGTATTGTGTTTGTTTTCAGCACCACTCACTTGCTTCAAAAAATGGGAAAATCTGGTTTCGATTTGAAATGTTTTGGGTTAGCTGAAAGTCTTCTCCTGACACTTCATTAGACAGAGCGTGACTAATGTTTGTTCTCTGTGGCTGTTTCAGCTGACCCCAGACGGCAAGGCGGCCCAGGCCGGAGTGGGTGTTGGAGATTGGGTGGTATCCATCTCTGAGGCCAACGCAGAGGAGATGACCCATGTGGAGGCACAGAACAAGATCAGAGCCGCAACCGACTCCCTCACACTCACTCTGAGCAGGTACACACACACATATACTCAGCGTCTTTCATCAGTGTCTTTGAGTTTCAGTATCACATGACGGGGGAGAGGATGACTTAACAGGAAATTGAGTTCTCTGGTTAATGCATCACTCAAAACCCCTTTTATTACAGTCTTGAAAGATAGAGTGTGAATTTTACAACATGTGTTGCATTAGAAACAACTAAACAAATGTATTTAGATGTCTACAACTTTCAAAGAGCTTTGAGGGGCTTTGAAAAAAAGACTAGTTGGACACCATTTGCTTTAGTTAATAGATCCCTGTAAAGAGTACTACCCTTTCATTCAATGTAATTGTCTGTTTATATGGGTTTACCATCGTTTTGTTAAGGATGCCAAAACCATTGCCTATAGGGTGCAACAACAGGACGCCAGATGTGAAAAAAATAATTGTATCCAATTAATTTTCTTCATAGAAAAATGTATTTATATTGATGACAACTTTTAAGATAAACTTGCCACAAGCTCTAAGGTTGGTGTAGCTCTGTTTCTGTGATATATATATATATATATATATATATATATATATATATATATATATATATATATATATAAAAATGACAAGCATATAACCAAATTACTAAAACTTCAAATAATTTCTAAAAATTTGAAAAATAATACAAAATATCAATATATTTACTTTAACAGTATATAACTTAGTATTTTTTTTATTTATTTTTTCAAATGTTACGATTTATCTTGGAGCTGGTTGGTGTGGATCTTAGAACGCTAAAGTGTCTGTGTGTGTGTGTGTGTGTGTTTTTTAATGCCTATGGAAAATGTGTAGCTCAGTTTGAAAATCATGGTACGCAACGCCAAGACCGTAGACTTGAATCACAGGGAATACACAAACTGATGCGCTGTAAATTCGCTGTGGATAAAACCTCTTCCAGATGCATTAATGTAAAATCAATGGGAAAGATACTTTAAAACCAAGGCCACATAAAACTGTGCAGTCATTCTTGTGCTCTTGTGATATGTAGCATCTAATTTTGGTCTGTTGTTTTGAAAATGTCAATGTGACTTTTAAATGGTTACTAATTCAAACTAATTTGGCCCAAAATTGTGTCTAGAGTGCAGATCTATCGAGATATACCAAATGAAAAGGTCTTTTGCCTGTTTCCATGGCAATTGTGTTGATAACTTGACATGGGATCTTGTGTGGCATTTAAGCTGAATTAAATGGCTTCTAGATCTTCAGGCCTCTTGTGTTGTGCAAATAAATTTTAAGGCCGGTATTAAATACATAGAACAAATCTTATAAATTCACTCTAATGCTGTGTAATAAAACTGTCCGGTGGCTCAGATGACCCTGGGCTAAAGGTAGAGCAGATAAGCTGGAGAAAGAGTGCTAACTCTGTGACTTGAGTTGCCCTTCACTTTTCAGCTTGGAGATGGGAAAACTCATCTTGTGCCTCAGGACACAATTCTCAAATCGCTTATATTGCACTCCTTTTGGGAAGCTGCAGAAAGGGCCCAAAAAAGGAAAGCTAATGGACCTTACTGCCCTCAGACAGAACAGGAGCTACTGGTGGAAAGAGTCTAGTGTCTGTGGTTAAGCGATGAGTAATGGGAAAAGAGGAGTATAGCTGCAGAGTGACAGATGCACTCCTTCCTGCTCTGTCATTAAGCCGTCCCTGTGATCAACACAAGATGACGAAGAGCCTGTTTAATGGGCCAAACCGCAGTTATGAATGTGGTTTTCTTCCTTTTTTAGGTGTGCGAGAATCATTTATATGTCATCACATAGGTAAGCTCTTGTAGCGGTTAGTAATGGCCTGTTTAAGAGAAGACGGATAAAAACGTGCACTTGAGTTATTAGAATTGCGTCTCCCTCGATAAAACATGGCTTAGCTCAAACAGTATTTGCATGACTATATTTATATGTAAAAGTTACTGTTCGTCTGTTTTCACTGGCAAATCTCATGAAAACTGTCAAGTTCATCTGAATTTCAATTTACTTTCGTGACCGTGAAAAAGTATGTTTTATTTAGTATGAATGTGGGTAGTATGAATGAAATTCGGATGTACTATATTGTTACTGTCATGCGACCTACCAGCATCAATTGCATCGCTTCACTGCCATTTACAAATCCTCTCCCGTGGCCTCATGGGATAGTAAAGTGTCCATCAAATGCACATTTCAGAATCTCCTGGGACTTTTTGCCTACTGTTTTTCGAATACTGTGTATCGGAAGTACTACTTTCGTGGCGTAATGTTTTTCGCATACTATATAATAGGGAAGTATTTGATTTTGGACACTGTCGGTGTCATGTTTCACCCAGAAATTTGTGTATACCCGGTAGTATATTTTAGATGGGAGTAATTAAAGGTACACTATGTAACTTTCGATGCTCTAGTGGTTAATAAACAAAACAGCATGAGACTTGTGGAAGAACATTGTAGCCAGAGTTACTTCTCTCATTTTATGTCCATGACGAGTCACGCAGGTACTGGGCTACACCGCAGCGGTTGTCCTTCTCGGTCTAAAATACTTCAAATATAAGCATTTATTATTAGTGTACCGTAGTGATTTAGGATAAGAAAAAAAAAATACGTTTGGAAGATGGAATCATGATATGGATTGCTCATTATATAGATTTTGTCAATTTTGAATAAAGTCACAGTATACCTTTTAAATAGCATGTTTTTATTTTGTATTTATATTTGTTATATTATTTATGTAATTTTGCATAAACAAAATGAACCCTATTAATTAACCTATTAAGATGCTATACAGTGTGTGTGTGTGTATATATATATATATACTGTATTTCATTAAGCACAGACATTCCTTTTCTAAAAAAAACCCCACATGAAATATGTATTTAGTTACTAAGTATATTTGCTAGTATACATCATTGTAGTATTGAAATGAAGACAAAACCCCCCCTTAACATTATAGTAATAAGAATTTATGAGAATGATGGTCTCAAATGGTCCTAAAGTAGGCATCATTTTCTTTATGCAAACTACTATAATTTCCTCTTTTGTTCTCCCTTTTTTGGGATTTTGTGGTGAAATATGATGCATACATTTCTTAGTGAGATTCACCTGGATATGAAAGCTGTTTCAGATCAGAGAGGGATTGTCATTGTCTCTATAACATCCCCTGGTTTGAGGGAGGACATAAATGAATGAGTTCAGTTCTGTCAAATGTTGCCGATGCAGAGACCAGCCGATTCTCCAGACAGCTCTTTGTCACAGGCCCCAATTAGTTTGAATGCTGGGGGACGGAATGAGCTGATTGGAGGTGTGAATGAAAGTGGGCGTGTCCTTATGAGTCATTTTGCTGGTGGTTAAGTGATGTCATTTCTTGACATTTTTGTGGAGTTTGTTTTGACATAACTGTGAAAACATCTGTTTATCAGTGTTCATAATTACCCCTTTGCCCAGTATGCCGATAGATGTCTAGTATCTTGACTGTTGTTTTGGGTGCTTTGGTTGTCAGACATGTCAGTGTATCTGTCTGTTGTTGTGCATCACAGATAAATTACAGTGTTTACATCCCATGGAAAGGCATGCTTGAAGACAAATGTCTGAACATGTCTGTATTTACTCTGGGATATACTTTTATTACAGAGGGTGGTGTCGTTTTTGGTTTACATAGCCGTTTGGGAAACCTCTTCAAATGTGGTTTGCAAGGGTACTTTAAAACATAAAGTGTCTTTTTAGTGGTATTGCTTTAGATCATTGTCCTAGTTCGCCCTTCCTGTGTGTTTTGGTTAGTGAAGTGTTTGTTTAGAGCATTAAGTTCAATGTGAAGTTAGAATTGATTTGTCTTTACATGTTTGTCTTAATCTTTTGTCGAAATACAATAGCTTGCTCTTGCCACTGAAACAGGGTTATCTATGTAATGTCAGCTGAACAGCCACACAGACTATTAACCAAAAGCCAGTAGCTGGTTTCCTTAAACTAAGTTTTAGGTACAGGCTGTCTGGAAATATGTTGTGTATTGGATGTAATACGGCTTGCAAATTCAATTTCATGTTGATTTTCTGCATATTTATTAGGGGTTCAAGCACTTCAGTGCTGAAACCCTATTGTTATTGTTAATTTTCCCATCATGCAACATTCTCCATGTAAAACTGATCGGGCAGGACGAACCGTAATTTTTTAATTGTCATTAGTTTTCATTCCATCTTAAATTGAAGGAAAGCGGGTATAATACATTTTTAGGAAAACATTGCAAGGTTTTTAAAAAAAATAATTAATTAATTGATTTGTTGATTTATTTTGCTTGTGGGAAAATATATTGCATATTGTCAGTTGCACTGGACGATGTTCATTTCCTGGAACATATCACTTTTGTAAAACAGCCCGGTTGTGCTATTTTCTTCTACATTTTCTCTCTGAGCTGTTATCTGTAAGCAGCCCAGTGTGCAAAAGGACACCATCACTGTCACAGGAAGTGGTGTATAGGCACAGGAAATGCAGACTCAGGGAGGCAGCTGATGGAATGCAACATTTTTTCCAGCCCAGTCAAACTAACCTAGACAGTCCAGTTTAGGACAGAATACAGTGATTATCTTGAGTACAGTGATGGTTTTGAGTGCTAATACCATGGTACTTTGGGGTACTAAAGAGTGGTCTTCGGTCTTTTTTTGTGTGTTTTTTTTGTGTGCTAATTGTTAAGAGAATGAGCTCAAGAGGGGGGAAAAAAAACAGTTTGAAAAGGTGTTTTAAACTGTTTGTGACTTTAATAACTAGATTTTTTTCTTATTTATCCATATCTGATTTGTTGCTATTCCACATGTTTGAGTCACATGTGTCTATTCAAAAACATTTGGACAGACATCAGGTATTAATCCACACATACAGCTGCAGCATTACATTCAGACTGATAAAATGGGATTTGGGAGCCAGGAAGAACCAATTGAATTCCCATCATGAGACTTGTTGAATTTGGCACAAATGACTGTTCAGTGTTGATCCATTAGACTCTCCATAGTTAACATTTTAAACATTTCAGTGAAATGAGTCATTTTATTAAAGAGCGTAAGTGAATTCATTCTCTAATTTTCTCTCTGCAGAGCTTTTCATCCTGCCGGAGGAGAGCAGAAGGTAAGACAGTTACCCGTTTTCTCTTCTGTCAGACAGAACTGCAAAGCTTTCGCAAGACCACTCAACCAGCTCCTGATATCTGAAGAAACACATTTAGATCTGTTCTCAAGTTCTCAGCTGCTTTGAATACTTCAGGACTGAACACACACACACACACACACACACACACACACACACACACACACACACACACACACACACACACACACACACACACACACACACACACACACACACACACGTACCTAGCTAGCTATATATCATATATATATGAGCATACCATATAATATCAAATATATTTTTAAATATAAAATTATTTATATATAACTACAACTAGACCAAACATTTGCTATTTATGAATAATTTTTGTCTTTAAGTACATCCTTGTACTTCCCAAAGGAATTTTTTTTTTTTTGTGGTCAGATTTCACTCATTTCTTGGCACAACTTTGTCCCCAAAGCATATCTAAGTTAACCCCCACACACACACTTGTATCTCAAATCTCACAACGCTTCATAACTCATTCTCATGTAAGTTTCATGGTTCTGTTAGCTTCCGTGGGCTGGTTGCACTATATTGCGGAAGTTTGGGTGGTTTGTCTATTTGCCCGTCTGATTCTAATGTTAAACATCTTGCTTTTTTGGTCTTGCTTAAAACTTCCCTTAAGCAGTTTTTGGTTTGATTGAATTTGCATTGCCACAGAATGCACAAAACCAGACTAAATGTACATTTTCCCAGTAGGCCATTTGCACATGCTGTAAATTAATTTTGCCTTTATGGATTTTATTGCTGGATACATTATAGCTAGAATTGCAAATTAAAAGCTTAATAAACTATTTTATATTTGTATTTTCATATAATTTGTGTGTATATATGTGTATATACAACATATCTAAAATGTATACATTTAAATATAATTTATATTACTTATATTTATATTATGATTTATATATATGTTTAATATTTGACACACACATATGACAACTATATTTAAAACTTTTGAAAGAAATGTTTATTAAAAATTATTAATATGTTAAAAAAATCATGTATATTTGTTATTTTATAGTAGGGTCAGTGAAAATGTTGGCTGGGCAGATAAAAAAAAAAGTAGCATTAATAACTAATCAGATTGTATCTCCTTCCACAATGCATTGCATTTGAAAGGGAGAAATCACGCCCTCATGTGGCTGCAATAGATCATAGCACGGGTATCTGCAACAGTGCCTGTTATAATTCTAGTCATATCAGACAGCTATACTTTTTCCTTTCGACCCATTCAGGTACAAAGTACAGACAAAATGAAGGAGGTCCTTTAAGCCGGACCTTGGCCTGATCTCAAGATAAACATTTTTGCCCAGGGTGTGTTCACCCTTCTTAAACAATCGCCCTCCACTTTCTCCGTGCTCATAATTTGCTGTGAAAAGACAGGAAGACAATTCACACCTTTTTTCCCACCAGTTAATCCTCTCATTTGGAGAGGATTAACTATTAAACCGTATCTGGGTTTGTGCATTCACCTGTGGTGCCACTAGTGTTTATGAAATAACGTGTATGTGTGTGTGTGCATGATCTGACATGCATGGTTTTGCTTTGCACTTGTCTTTCTCCTCACTCAGGATACACTCGCACCTGCATCCAGTCAGCCCAAGTACTCGTTTGCACCGAGCACAGCCATAAACAAGATGGCGCGGCCGTTCTCCGCAGCTTTTGGCAATGGCAGCAAGGGGCCTGTCATCAAGCCAGTGTCGTACGCCCCCAAGCCTAACTTCAACTCGCAGGTGCCCAGCAGCACGCCGCAGCCTCACAATGGGTAGGTGACCAGCCAGCCAGGTCTCCAACTGAGACTCGGGCTCATAATCTGTCTTTAAAGCGGGCTTTGATCGCCACGGGACCTGCTTGATGAGCTTAGTCCACAATAATGAGCCTCATCATACCCAAGGCTGCATGTTTCTAATGATGCAGCAATACCTCAGTGATGGGTAAGAACACCTGCAGCTCCCAGAATTCACTGTGAGCGTGAGTTGTCTGGATGCTAGCTCTGAGATTGGGCTGCACGATATTGGAAAAAATAAAACTGACATTGCGATATTTACTTTTTCTTACATATATATTGATATATAAAGAAATACAGGAATGTTTACCAGTGGACTTAAATAGCTACATTTGGAAATAATTAATAATTCTAAAATTAGTTGGGTTATTTTTTTGTAAGCAGCTGGAAAAATAAATGAATAACAAATAAATTAAACCATCATTTTAGGGCCTATTATATTTTATATAATAATATAATAATATATAATTATATAATTATATTATTATATTAGGCAGTAACACAATTAACAGTAACTTCGTTTTTTTAGACTAACTAATATAAATAAATAAATATAAATAAATAAATAAATAAATAAATATTTATTTATATTTATTTATTTATTTGTTTATATTAGTTACAGTCTAAAACACGAATAGTTACTGTTAATTTAGTTACTGTCTAAAAATAATAAAAATATTATTTTTATATATATATATATATATATATATATATATATATATATATATATTAGGGCTGTCAAAATAACGCGTTAATTTCGATTAATTAATCTGAGAAGAAATAACGCGTTAAAAAAAATAACGCAGATTAATCCATTCCGTTTTGACCTTTGCGGAGCCGTTCTAGCCGTAGCCACCATTCGTGTAAAAAGGAGGGAGACAAGAACGCGCTGCTTGGATCATTGTTTGGAACATTTACTTATAACAAACGGAGTTCGTCAACTCTAAAGTACCACATCAATGCAAAGCATCCAGGAGTGTGTGCGTGAGTCGGTGAGTGTGTCTGAGAGAAAGCGCGCTTGTGTGTGTGTGTGTGTGTGTGTTGTAACTTTTCACGCGCTCTCACGTCACACAACCATTTTCTCTCGCACAGAAAAATCGCGCACCAAAGAGAGGACACGGAAACAGACAAGACAGACGTTATTATGATATTAAAAAAATCTCAGCTCTCAGATTCTGTCAATTTTATTACGAAAATCAAACAATAAATACCGTTGGCGCTTGTAAATGTGACATGACAGATCCCTAGCGGCACGTGAACCGATCATCTCTAGCTAATAGTAAATAAACACGAATGAACAATGTTGAAAGATACAGTAGGGCAGCCTAAAACTTTCCGAAATGTATATTCCTCGATCAATCAGTGTTTTTCAACCGCGAAAAGAGGTCAATAAAACAGCTGGAGAACATTGTCACATAACATTTAGCCTAAGTTACCTCAGGAAAGCCATTTCATGACCATATAGCACGTTATAGTTGGCTATAAGAAAGAGCTATAGAGAGTGTTTTTCTAAATTTATGTAGCCTACTACTATATTACATAAATATTATATTTTTTACTTATATCAAAGTTGTTATTTGTAATAAACACGCATTATATTTAATTTGAGCTATTTTTAACCTTAAATATTACCAGCTGATATGGCTCTTTGTATTTTTATAGCATTGGGTGAGATTTTTTGTCTCTTGAGAAAAATGAATGCCTATCTTGTATATTTATCCAAATGAGTCAATATTGCATCAAATCACAAGAATTAAATTAAATTGAAATCGTGAAATTTGTGTCAAGCAATAATAATAAAAACGTAGCTTACCAGAAATTGTACCATGTAAACATTGTAAGATTGTGTATGCGATTAATTTAGATTAATTAATTACAGAGTATGTAATTAATTAGATTAAAAATTTTAATCGATTGACAGCCCTAATATATATATATATATATATATATATATATATATATATATATATATATATTATATATATAATATTTTGTTTTTATTATTGTGATTTATTCAATAACACATTAAACAAAATAAGAAATATGTTGAAATATTGTAACTGTTGTACTGTAAAATAAGAAATCGAGTATTTAATAAAAATAATACCATTTATGGTATATTCTGGTGATTGGTAGCGCATATATTTATTTAATTAAACTGTCAGACTAGTCGCGATATGTCAAATCGTGCAGAATGCATTTTAAGTCGAAACTCTGTGTTGCGTTTCTGCAGTGAGGTTTGGGGTCAGTGAGTTCAAGAGTCTGGTCTTTAGTGTTTTCCCGGATTTATTGTGCGTGCTTGTAATAAACGATGTGGCGTTAAGCAGCTGTGTCTGTTTTCCTTGTTGGAACAGGCGGTTGCATCACCACCTCGGTGACCAGACCGTTCTGGGACCCGCTCGAACACGCCGTCTTCATCTGTTTTCCTCTCCACCTCTTTATCATCCCTTTGCAGGGACATTCTGCCCCTCTTTTCCGCCAAGGTCCAGCATTTTAACGAGCACTTTTATTAAAGCTGATCAAAACAACAGATGTTAGCCGTCAAGTCCGGTGGAGTTGAAGACAGTAAAATTGTGGTGTATTTGATTTATTTATTTAACATAAACACATGAAGGAGTTTGTGAAGGTCTAAGGTGTTGATCTGGCCAGGTTGAGAAGGTTGAAGTCTGTCTTTAGGCCAGGGCTTGATGTTGTCTGTTGCTGTTTATAGAGTCCAGACCCTCCCATAAAATCTGCTGAGCCCTCAAAATGCCGTTACGGCCCCGGTGCTGAATTACTTAACGGCCTTACTTGGAAAAGCTCCTGTACTGTAATCCACCTTAACACAAGTTTCCTCACAAACAAATTGCATGAAGGTGATGTTTTATTCAAGTAGATTCAGAAGCCTTGAACTTCAGTTGCATTGTGGGAACATTTTCTGGAGGGAAGGAGGCTGAATCCGAGCTCGGCTGTTGGAGTGTTGCGATTGTGTGTGTTATTTATTTGTGCGATCCAGCAGCACTGAGGTCTCCGTGTTCTCTGGAGATCACACAGTCACGTCAGCATTCTGAGCATGTTTACTGCACCGCACGCCTACAAGCTTGTTTTTACAACTCTTCACTCTAAGGGGCACTATTGCTTGCAGTGTTTGTGAACGGTACCAACTTTTGAGATTTGAAATATTCTATTCTATTATGTATTTTGTAATATACACTACTGTTCAAACGTTTGGGGTCAATAAGATTTATTTATTCATTTTTTAAAACGAAAGAAATTCATACTTGTATTGACCAAAGACCTATTAATTTGATTGAAAGTAACAGTAAAGACACTTATAATATCACAAAACATTTCTATTTTAAATAAATGCTGTTCTTATGAAGAATCCTGTATCGAAATGTATCAAGGTTTCCACAAAAATATTAAGCAGCACAGCTGTTTTCAATATTGATAATATTAAGAAATGTTTTTTCCGCAGCAAATGATCAAATCAGAATGATTTCTGAAGGATCATGTGACACTTAAGACTGGAGTAATGATGCTGAAATTTCAGCTTTTTCATGACAGGAATAAATGCAGGAATACATTTTGTTTTAAATTGCTATTTTAAAACAAAAAAACAGTTATTTTAAATTGTAATTATAATTCACAATATTACCGTTTTCACTGTATTTATGATCAAATAAATGTAGCTTTGTTGAGCATAACAGATGTCTTTCTATAAAGTTATAGTGTATATACGCATTTTTATGGATTGTTTTTTTAAATACTCCTAGTAAGTTAATAAAATATACTAATTCATTACTTTTTCCATTATGTTTTTTTTTTATAAGGAATGGATATGTTCTACTTGCTCAACTTGAATGCTTAATGAATCATTGGCTAGACATTGAAACTGATTTTATTCAGTTGTCACAAACGACTGGAAAACTCATTAATCTTTTAGGAACCATGTATGTAGGGTAATGTTGGTTTAATGGCGTAAAGCCAGATTCAGTGTCAGTTAGATCTAGTGGTTGGCATGTTTGGCAAAAGTTGCAGGGATATCTTTAATAATAAAAGCACATTAAAAGTTATAGAACAGAATCATTTAACTTATTTAACAGGAGGTACAGCTCATGTTTTCACGTTTTCTGTTGTGTTACTTAAAGCACGCTGTGATCCTTTTCACCACTAGAAACACACAATTTGCTTTGTTTGTCTCTGCATCATGTCTTTCTAAATGCTGTGTATTCTGCTCTGTGTGGTTTATTTCTAAACAATTTTCTCTTCTCCTCTCTTTTTTTAAATCTCCTTTGTCATTCCACAGATGGAAGTTCTTGACAAGTTAGTAATGCCTTTCCTTATTTCCCCTCCTGCTCTGAAAAATGTGCGCAATTATTGTTTTTGGCTATCAAATCCCAGCCCTGTGGCTCTGCCTCTATCCGTTTTCATATATTTGTTTTCCTAAATGTAATTTATCTTTCCTTTTTTCCCAAGCCTGCATTGTTGCAGTATTGGCTTTAGGAGACGGCAGATTTCTCACATCTAAGCTGCCGTCTCAATCTGTAATTATTCACTATGGGATTGTAAATGTACAGCTTTATTCCAGCGTTGATATTTCAGAGCGCAGTGGCCGGTCTCCGTTCACTCGGTGTAAAGTCAGGCTGCTTTAATGGACACTGTTGTGTTCTTTGTTGTACTCCTCCCACTCTTCCTCTCTATTGTTATTTGTGCTCCTTTTCCTTTTTTCTCCATCCTGTTTTTTTCTGTCTTCCTTCACTCTCCCGTTCATTAGAGGAGAAGCCTTCTATGAGGAGTTGTACCCTGAGGGGAAGTAAGTGCTGAATGCTTGTGGCTCTAATGCACTAGCTAAAAGAACTTAGACCTGCCGCTGACCTCACTAATAAACTCTTGCTTTTGACGACATCAGACCATGTTTCATTGCTTTTTCACTCAGGAGTTGAACTGCATTGAAACGCGGCACTTTAGCTGGGTCGTTTGAAACTATTAGCAAATGT